TGGAGGAGAAAGGATTGTAGTGTGGCCATCTACCCTTGGGGGTGGTTTCTTACTTTCCCCCTTTCTGTTTTTCTTTGTCTCTGGTGAGCATGAGCACCCTATAGGAAAAAAAAAAAAAAAAAAAAAAAAAACAAAAACCCAAACCAAAAGCCAAACCAAAACAAAACAAACATCTGTTTTCTTTAGTAAAAGAAATAGAATCTGTTTCTTTTAGAGATTTTTGTTATATATAGGGTGCAAATGCTTGCCAGAGAGACACAGAGAAAGGCAGAAAGCAAGGAATCACCCCTCAAGGGGGATGGCCACACTGCAGTCCCTTCTCCATTCTCCTCTCGAGATTTTGGGCACACATGCACATACTCCTGGCATGAATTTCAAGCCTCCGGTTTGGAGACTCGAACCATAGTCGGCCATATGGGAGTCCAGTGACATGACCATTACATCATCTACTGGTCCTAAGAAATAGAATCTTGGCGGACCAGCAGTTGGCATAATGGCTATGGCACTGGACTCCCATGTAGTTGACTGCAGTTCAAGTCCTGGACCTGGAGGCTTAAACTCATGCTGGGCGCATATGCCCAAGATCCTGAGAGGAGAATGGAGGAGAAGGGATTACGGTGTGGCCATCCCTCCAGGGGGTGATTTCTCACTTTCTGTCTTTCTGTCTCTGTCTTTCTGGCAAGCACATGTGCCCAATAGCAAAAACCTCTCCAAAAAAAAAAAAAAGAAAAGAGAAAAGAAATAGAATCTTTATAAATTTCAAACTATTCCCATAATTACTGTAATGCACTGTTTATTCTAATGTTTTACTGAATACCCCAGCACTTTTTAATTCTAAATGACTAAACTGCTGGGGAGAGGTGGGGACAGCATAGGACTCTATGTCCTGCAAGACAATCCTACATAGGAAGGCTCCCAGTTCAAGTCTGGACACCTCCCTAAATATACTGGATGTACGTCTCCCCATGGCCTGGGGCAGGCTGAAGGCTAGGGGTGGATCATGCCATCAGGACTCTATTGGGAGTGTTCTCTTGCTCATGGGAGACATAAATGTATAAACTCAAACAGAAACGAGAGTATGGGGCCAGCCAATGACATGGTGGTTAAGGCAGCTGGATTCCATATGACTGACTGCATGGTTTGAATCCTGGACTCGGCAGCTTGAAAAACATGCCAGGTGTGTGTGAGTGTGTGCGCCAAATCCTGCCAGAATGGAAGAGGAGGGATTGCGGTGTGGCCATTGTCCCTGGGGATGCCCCCACCACCACCACCATGCATGTACCCTTTGGCAAAACTAAAAACAAGGGACCAGCAGATGGCGTAATGGTTACGTCCATGGATTCCCACATAGTTGACCACAGTTCAAGTCTTGGACCTGGTGGCTTAAACCCCACGCTGGGCTCATGTGCGTGCCCAAGATCCTGAGAGAAGAATGGAGGAGAAGGGATTGAGGCATGGCCATCCCCCCGGGGAGTAATTTCTCACTTTCTATCTCTTTGTCTCTCTGTGTCTTTAGTGAGTGCATGTACCCTATAGCAAAAATCTCTTAAAAAAAAAAAACTCACAAAAATTGCTATGAAGTTTTAAAAAAGTGATCAAGTGGGATGAGATGAAATAGGAGTTTTCAGAGGGGTCCCTAACTGGGCAAAGGCTTAGATTCAGGAGGTGCTTTTAGTGTGCCCACTGTGGGGGACGTTCCTTCCATGCTTTCGTTCTCGTGATCACGGAGGTAGTTGTGAATCCTTTGCAGAGATCAGCTTGGACCTCTTCCCTCTACAGTGAAGGCGGAGCTGAGCTAGGAACCCAGGGCCTGTGCGCATCCCAGCACATGACCTGGTGCTTTGGGCTGTGTTTTCCTTGTGTCTGCTTCCGGGTTAGTGGGAGCCAGTGTTGCACAGTGGCTAAGGGTGGGTTCCAGAGCCAGATCTCTGCATTCACAGCTATTCACCGCATACCGGTTGGTCTGTGCCTGCTGCTCATCTGAAGATGGGGAGAACAGTAGTTGCTGTGAGACTTGATGTGTCTTTTTTTTTTTTGGAGAGATTTTCACTATAGGGCGCGTGCGCTCGCCAGATAAAGAGAGACATAGAGACAGAAAGCGAGAAATCACCCCCCAGGGGGGATGGTCATGCCGCAATCCCTTCTCCTCCATTCTCTCGGGATCTTGGGCATGCACGCACATGCGCCCAGCATGAGTTTTAAGCCACTGGGTCCGGGATGCGAACCATGGTTGACTACGTGGGAGTCCAGTGACACAGCCATTACGCTAACTGCTGGTTCCCGTGACTTGATGTGTCTTGTAAAATGCCTCGTAAGCATCACAGCAGTGTCTGCTACACACAGGTAAATTTTATTGGACTTCTAGTCCTCTTACCATGCTCAGTACTTAAAGGAAGCAGGTATTATCTCTGGGACTTGACAAAGGGACCATTTGGATTAAAGTAGAACTCTAAGGAAACAGATGAGAGATTTTCCCATTTTTTTTTTTTAAAGAATTATTTAACTTTACTTATCTATTTATTTTAATTGTTTGACCAGAGAGGGAGAGAGTAAGAGAGAGAGGGAGAGAGCAAGCTGCCAGGCCTGGGACTCGGTCGACCATGTGGGAATCCAGTGTCCTTAGCCACCATGCCACCTACTGGTTCCGATTTTCTCTTCTTACATGGAAGATTTGGGCTAGATTAAACACTTAAATAAAATGTCATTTGTCAGTGTCGGCCCTCAGATGAGTGTGCTGAAACAAAATCTAAGGGCTTATGACTAATTCCAGATAAACTCGAAGCTGCATAGTTTTAATAAGAGTGAAATATTCCAGGGTTGGGTCGTAATGATCAGATGAGGGATAATGAAAAAATCTGATTATTTGGTCTTGGTTCTGCCAAGTGATGAGGCTGGGTTAGATACTGCAAAGGCAGATGCTCTTCCTACTCATGAACCTTCCTGGTTTAGTTAGCCGCTCAGACCTAGAATGCAGATGCTCGTGTGCTCAGATTAGAAATAGAATGATGCAGAGCCAGCAGGCGGCGTAATGCTTACAGCACTGGACTCTCATGGAGTTGACTGCGGTTTGAATCCGGACCTGGCAGCTTAAAACTCACACCATGTGTGTGTGTATGTGTGTATGTGTTTAGGCCCACAATCCTGAGGGGGGAATGAAAGAGAAGGGATTGTGGTGTGGCCACCCCCTTGGGGAGCAATTTCTCACTTTTTGCCTCTCTGTCTCTCTGTGTCTCTGGCAAGTGTATGTGCTTTTAGCAAAAAATCTCTTTAAAAAAAAAAAAAAGGAATGATGCAACAGATGAAAATCCTCTGGTATCATTTGCCTGGTTAAAATTCCAAAGGCTGCCTATCTGACTCACGGAAGCGAAGGTGAGATTGCAGAGACCTTTGGTTATGGCTTTGTGTCCTTTTGTCCTGCCAGCCATTATAACCTTTTATCCCTGCGTTGCACAAATCAACAACAGTTGGTACCATACTGCACTGTAGAGGTGACTTTTTTAATGGCGGAATTAAGACGAGTACATTTGTAACTAGTGGGCAGGTGACCTGAGGGTTACCCTCAGCCAGTGCAGGCCGGGGCATAGCCTGCCTGTTTCAGAATACCAACAATTCCCCTGGTTTAGGAATGGAATGGTTTTAGGAACTTGAAGTTAATCTTTGCTTGCTTGTGCCATAAAGCAGCTAAAGTCATCATCTGAGGAGTAAACATGCTGAAAAGGACAGGGGTTCTCAATCAAGAAGACATTTTATATCAGTCTGAGAAAAGCATCTGGGATCATTTTAATCTCGTGCCCTCTGCACTGCAGGCTTAAATTTAAGAAAACGCTGAAGAATCAGTGGCTTCTGAAGAGGCCACTACTGAACCCTCCACTCCTCACAATCATTTGGTGATTGTGTTGATTAATGGGATTGTGGAGGAGAAAAGCAAACAAAGCTGAGGCTGTTAAACTAAAGAGGAAAATACAGTCCCCCACCCCATCCTTGTATTGAAGAACCATGTGGGTGTGAGAGACTTGGTGAGCAGTTGGTCAGGTGCTGATTTTAAGGAACATCTGTTTAGTATTGAGGACATTATGGTCAGGAACGTCTTCATTTATCTTTTTCCCCTTTCTAGGAAGACCCTGTTGAAATGCTCTCTCCATATTTAGTTTTCAAAGTAGTTCACATTCTTAATAATAATCCAACAGAAGGCTGTGCTACTAATAGTTATTATTTCACAGAGAAAGAAGCACCCGAAAGCCTATATTACATATTGGTTAAGAACTGGGCTCTGGAACCCACTCCTCGATCGATTTCTCACTGTAGCATTTACAAGCTTTGCGGTTTTAAGTCATCCTTTTTGGGCCTCAGTTTTCCCATCTATCAAATGGGAATAGTAAGTGCTCTGTCCGTGTCAGCTGTTGTCATTAGCACTGTCGTTTCTGATCTGTTAGCCAGCCAATGACTGAGGAAGGAGTGCCAGGTTTGTTGTACCCCCACACTGGCCCCTTCCTGGGTCTTTCTCCTGAATCAAGTATGATTAGCCAAATGAGCAAACCAAATCTCCCTGGGTGAGGCATTTCCCATCTGTGGTTTTGATTTTTCTCTCCAGCAGCAGCTTTCTTGTGAGTCCTGGTGGCTTCAGTTCATTCTTCCTTTTGCATGTTTTCTTCGGGGTCACCACCTGTGAAATAAAGGCTGTCTGCCTTACCATAGCAAATAGGTAAATCTTTATCGACTGTTTACCATTAACTATGGCTGTTAGCTAAGAGATCAAATCTAGCTTCCTGAGTCACAGATGGGGAAACTGGCCCCAACATTCTTGAAATCTTCCTGACCAGGGCAGTGTTTTGTCTCCGTGAAGACATGGAGGTCTGCCGCTGGGTTGAGGAGGAAAGGACTAAAGAGAAAAGCCTGGAACTGGAAATCTGCAGGCAGCTCAGCCAGTTGGAAGTTGGCTTTGTCTAGTGCCCAAGTTCTCAGAAGATTTTCCTCGGCTGAATGGGCTTGATGGAGCACTGGCTTGAGGTTGCTTAGCGACCAGATTTGGTGGCCCCCGATTCCCAAATAGTCAAGCAACCCATCAACTCCCTGCCTCCCTACACCAACCCTCAGCCACCATCCGGAGCCTCATATTAGACAATCAAGTGTGTACTGGAGGGAGGGACCAGTGAGAGAGAGAGAGGGGGCGAAGTTTAATCATTGAACCAAGCAGGCTGGAAGGATTTAGTCCTCAGCACCCAGCTCCCCAGGAGTTCCTAGCCTGAACTGGAAGTCAGCAACACTCCAGAGACGTGGCAGCAAGCGTGGCACGGAAATCTGTCTGTTTCAGGAGAAAACTGACTTGGGAAAAATGTTTGCAGTACACTTGATGGCGTTTTACTTCACCAAGCTGAAGGAGGATCAGATCAAGAAGGTAAGGACTCACAGCTGAGAGACCCTGTTTCATTCTTTGCTGATAGAACTGATTTTCTGCCTACATCAAAAAGGATTTAAGACAGCTTATTAGAAAAGATACCTGGGCATATGAGCTGTTGGGAAACTCGGGAGGAAGAGGAAGTGAAT